CTTACTTCTGTGTGTAAGAGAAGGCATCTGTACTCTGCGTCCATCTCCTTACAAGGCTGCTTGAACAGATGCGAGTTAAGGGCATGTGCTTTGATGTGGTTAATAACTTTAACAACATCATTCATACGCTGTTAAGTTCAGGTGACATTTTTCGGCTAGCCAGCATTTCCCTGTCTATGACACAGTGCGTAGACTCACATTCAGGTCCAACCTCCTTAACCCAAGCAGTTAATCCAGAAAGCCGTCAAGTCGGGAGCGTGCCTATGTTCCCACAGCCCTATGTTCCCACATTTTTAAGATTTGTTTTTTCAAAATTAGGCCCTATGTTCCCACAGTTCCCACATTTTTAAGATTTTTATCAGATTGTATCCCCCTTTTTCCCAATTTGGTAGCCAATTACACCAGAGCGGGCCTTGGCGCGTGAGAATCACCTGTGGCTGATATTCCGTATTTTAAGTAGGACTCCTGATATTCTCTTTTAAATGCTTTCTTGGAAGTCGTAGGCTCTTCTTCTTCTGTCTCCTCATTGGGCCTTTTCCCCTTTCCAAAGAAGCTTTCCAAAGATGTTTGTTTTTTACTAATTTTTGCTAGCTTGAGGGCTTAACTGGGGTAACATATCACGTGACTGAGACCTGTGTCTTGACATGTCTTAACCTGTTTCAAGAGGCACAGACGCACAGACGGATGTAATTGGGAGAGAATCCGGTCATTTTTCAAAATAAAACATCTTCCAGACTCTGATCATAAATAACATTTTATTTTTTTCTGTGCGGCCCGGTACCAAATGACCCACGGACCGGTACCAGTCCGCGGCCCGGTGGTTGGGACTGCTGTTCCAAAGGAACCTTTTCAGGAATTCTGGAACTTTCTCTGCATTTTGGCATGTCGGAGAGGAGCTTACAGCACTGAACTTTGTAGTTTTGTGGAACATTTTTGTTTTACACTACCAGCACTCTCCACAATGCTACACAATTGATATTTTTATAAACCTGCAACAGCAGCTATTAAAGACCATGGTTGAAGTAAGGGCATGGGTTCCTCCTGCATCTTTTACACATTAACAACAGAAGGTCACAGAGTAGAGAGAGTGTATAGATGTCCAGACATGAATTACAGAAACTATACTAAATATAACTATACTAGAATGTTATATTTATACACACAGAATGTGCAGATGTTATGTTATGTGTATTGGGATTTGTTTACCCGATTGAGGAGCCACATGTGGACAGAAGGTGATAAAAGGTGACTGTCATGTTGCATGTCGTGTGTTGAGGTCTGGTATTAATTAGATGGAGGAGGGTGTTCATGGTGTGACATTGCTGACTGGCCTTTCACAGCTCATTACATGGTGTCCAATCAGAGCGCAGCCAGCGTGACTGCTGTTTATTTATACACAGAGCTGGAAATGGCAGAGTGCGGGCAGCTCAGACAAAACCTCAAACACTGGAACACTCTAGCACATTGTACTGCTGCAGAGGGTCCCAATCAACACCCTGCTCTTATTGATCCAGACATATACAAAGCAACTCCTAGATCAATAAAGTTTCATTGCTTTACTTTTCCTATTAGAGAAGTATTACATTTTATTTTTGTTATTTGAGTTTTATGGTCTCTAGAGCTTTCCAAACAGGCGGGTGGGTACAATAAACTTTTAAAGCTGCAGTACGTAAACTTTCCATGACAATAACCTTTGTCATATTTGCTGAACTTCCACTAATTCTGACAGTATACATGAGACAGTAATCTGTGAAAAATAATCAGTTCCTCTGGCTCCTCCTAGTGCTCCTAATGGTATTTGCAAAAATCCACTGGGCCTGATGAAAAACTACTGCCAAACTACTGTCAGGATATAGTAAAAGTTTCAGTGAATACGACAACTTTTTTAATAAAAGTTACCTACTGCAGCTTTAAATATAAAAGGGTAAAATGTGCAGGCGGTCACAAAATGTGTCGTTAGCAGCTCCAGCTAAAAATATTGGTATTTACGACACATGTACTAACAGGATAGGGAAAAGCACATCACATAGATCCAAGAACAATTCACAAAAAGTGACATCAAAAAATACATTTATTACAGTACCAGCAACTTGAATCAACATTATGACATGTCCAAGAAAATGCATGCATAGAACAGCACAGCACAATAAAACAGCCAACATCTCTGTTCGACACACGCTCAGTCTGTACACACAGCAGGTAACGCAGGAACTGTTACGTTGAAGAGTCCTTCAGGTTTTATCAGTCAGCTTTGTAGTAATGACATCGTACACTGTAATAATAACCTTGTGTTGTGTTCCCAGTAGATCATGGGCTCCATGCTAGCTAACATTAAAGCATACAGACTAAATTCTGCACAACTTTGCAGTTCACTGTCATTTGCTTGCTACCCAATTAACATTTAGCACCTCATCACATACTCTGGAAATGTACAGTCACATCAGCTAAACAAGGCCAATGCTAGGATAAGCTAACATGTAGTAGTATGTGTTTTTAGTGTGGTAGTAAAATTACTACTGAGTGAGAAAATGGAAGCTTGTAGCCACTCTAAAGCTAAATGATAGGTAGTTTCAACAATTGTCAGTCAATGGCAGTTTTAAGTTTATAAAATTGACATGCACTGTTTGTCCTTTTCTTTTTGTTCTTCCACATAAAATGACAAGGGAGAGAGACTGGAGTCTGTGTTTATCTAACAATAACCACAAGCACGCTCACCTGAGATAGCTACAGAATAAAAGTGAGTTAATGGTCTCACATTTTGTTTTGAATGAATCCACTGACTGTATTACTACTACTGTAAAAACACACCTATAAGCAGAGGTGGGACCAAATCATTGTTATGCAAGCCACAAGTAAGTCTCAAGACTTTGCAATTAAGTCCCAAGTCCTAAACTTTGAGTTTCGTGTCCTAAACAAGTCAGAATGCGCTCTTCACCAAATGTAATGCCATTTTCTTTGGCATCATTTTTTCCAACTGGCACTCAGTAACGTAACATTAGTTCTTCATGGTTCTCTCCTGTAACTTGATTGGATGCTGATTGGTTGGAAAAACAACATAGTTTTTCATCTTTGGGCTTGGGGGAAGGTTTTCAAGTCAAAAGGCTCAAGTGAAGACATGACTTATTGGTGTTAAAGTCCAAGTAGAGTTGAAAGTTTTTTTTAATTTTGTGGAGTCTTAAGTAATTGAATTTGTGACTCGAGTTTGACTCGACCTCCGCCTGTAAGTAGTTTTTTTTTACGGTTTTCCTCTTGTTAGCTAGCTGCTATCATTCAACGCTGTGTATGCTAGAATGTTAGCATTCAACCCCAAAATTAATCAGCAACTGGGGGAAAACCACATTCTCATCACTAACAAAATCAGGAGCAAAAACATTACTCAAAGGCAGATATGTAGTGTGTGTGCAGGGATGTTGAGGCTAAACGTAGTGCAAAAGGCTCATGCTGAGCTAACTAACAAGTACAATATACAGGTCAATACTTGTTGCAACATGGTCAAAGGTCACATCAGGAAATCACAAGTGTAGGGAATCAAAGGCATTTGGCCATTCTGCCAGATGTTTCAAAGGTTAAGAAATAGTCTTGGAGCACATATGCAAAGGGACACGTCAGAGATTTAACAGTTAAGTGGACGGAGGTTTGCAAGGCTTCATATACGATTTGTATGTTTATACTGCATGTAGCTCAAAAGGAATGATTTACATTGACATCAGAGATTATTGCACACTATATGCAAATACGTTGAATGTCCACGTCTAACAGAGGTGGGATGTATGGGGGAACTTCAGAGTATTAAACTACAGTTAGACATTTATGTTCCTCATTGAAACAATGGTCACAATGCACTATTACATCTATTGTTCATACATTTACACTCAAACAGCAGCACGTGATCAATTCTTACAACACACAGAAAAACATGTACAGTATTTACAAAATGACTTCATCAACACAATATATTAACAACAGATTCTCAATCTGAAATGGGATTCAACCTGTCAGAAGGTGCATCAAATGTAGATAACCATATTTCAATATTTAAAAAGCACACACTGATATAGTCTTGAAACAGCTAAGAGGGATTTTTGGGAATCTCTCATTTAGAAGTGCTTTGAATGAAGACACAATGCTGCCCTGCAGTGGCAGGATGAAGTAATACAGTAAGGGAATGCCACCTCACACTTCAGTCACTCATTTTACATTTGCTTGATGCTGTTTGCGCGTGCTACATAGATAGATACACATGCAGCAGGACAGGAAAGAGTATGGAAATAAAACTACTACTTAGGTCACTGAAAACACAGATAGCAATATGCTGAGCTTTATTTGCATGCAGCCGTTGTTCATATATCAGGGAATAAGTGAAAGAGTGATCTCTGCAGGCTCTGCATTAGCATTTGGTCGGGCAATCGAGGGTAGCATCAGACGATAAAGACAAGGACATTAACTTTCATGGAAGGCACTTTGGATGGAGTCACTAATGATCCCGAGGGTATAATAAAGTTTCTAATTTAAAAAAACATTAAATTATTGCCACCAGATTAGAAATGTGCGGCAGAGTAAAAGTGGTAATAACATTTCTCTGAGTAACTACGCAAAGGGAAGACTTTCTGCTTTCTTTCTTGCCCAGAGTTCAACAAGAGGATTGATACCATCGTGTTTTATATGAAGCTACCACCAGCAGCTTTAAGACTGAAAGCAGGGGAAAACTGTCCACCTAGAAACACCTATAAAGCTCACTAATTAAAACTATAATTTATACCATTTCAACATTAAACAGTGTATAAACTCTAGCTCTATGTTCTATATGTAGTTGATTCAATCAATAATCTATAATCATTAAAGTGTATAAACTCTAGCTCTATGTTCTATATGTTGATTCAATCAATAATCTATA